GTTCCCCTATTGTTGGGTTTTGGTTTTCTTTCTTTGTTTTTCATCTTTTCTTTTCTTTTTTTCTTGGTTCGTTCTGGTCGTCGGTCTTCGGATCGACTCCAATTTGCGATTTTACACATACTACGGAGTACAGTACATACAAAATAGGGTCGTTTTAACTATGAAAGCCACAGATGTAACCACCCTCTGCGTTCCCGATAGACAATGGATCCGAGCACAGTCTCGGAGATGTTCTCCAGCCTATGAAGACCCGATTCACTCATCCCTCACAATAAACCCATGCAAGCGGACTGAGCGACAGGGGAGCAAAAAACAAAAAACACAAATTAGTGGATCCTTGCATCTACAGTGATCCGCTTCTTCTTCGCTTGGGGAACATCAATGTGGACGGACAGCATAAACTTTAACTAAGCTAGTCGATGACTTGTGCCTATCAGAGTGGGCGTCTGGTAAGGCGCCCCGACCGAGTGGCTGCAGATGTCAATTTCGTTTTTTCCTTTTTTTTTTTTTCTTGGGTCAGAACTTGCTTATCCACTTGACATGTTGTTTTCCTTTGAACTAGAAGCGTTGTATTGTGGGTTGCTGATTTGGTTTCTTGGGAGGAATTTTATGATATGATATGATATCTTTTCTGGGAGAAACTATTGATCGTGAAGAACTAGTTATGTTTTAGCGGTATGTATATTAGATTAACTTGTTGGTTTTCCACCCTTCCGAGATAGATTTTCACTCGGTTCACTGAGAGTTCAAGAAAGTCAAGATGTTAACCAAGGTTCGTTGTGGCAAAAGCGGGAAAGGATAGAAATCCCCCCGCTTGTCGGAGTTGCGCCGAAATATCCAGACAGGTTCCCAACTGCATGCAATGGATTATTTCCCGAACACTGGGGATCTTCAAGATAGCATTTGCGATTTGCAGTAGCTGCAGATTTCCCTCGAGCTATGCCTCATGATTGTCGATGAAAGTCTTTCCTTTTTCGATCTTCTAGATTTAGGAATATCTATATGTTTAATGCTGTGGAGTTATGTAGAGGGTCAAGTATAAGGGAAAAGTACAGTAGGGAGCAACCGTAGTTGTATCGGATACTTTCCCAGTCCACATGGATGGAAACAATAGGAGTATATCCCGCTGGACCGCCCGGCAGTCTACCGACCGGGTTTTCCCCTTCGTGGCTGATTTTACTTTTCGATCGCAGCCACTGTGGAAAGGTTCCTTGGTCGAGCGCGTGTGTCCTCGGTCCGTGGGAGAAAAGGAACAAAAGTTGCAATGCATTGATTGCAACCTCGGCGTGAGATTGAATGCCGTTATCTAGGAGCTTTGCCCTATTGTGCAGAATGTCATCATCGAATTTTCTCGAGTACTCCCTCGAGGTTGTAGAGCCTTAGCGAACGAACTAGGAAAACTCTCCACACCAACGTCAGAGCGGGAAGAGAAAATCCACTAGCGGTCCCAGCCAAGTGACGATGATAGAACACATCACACGCAACTTGACATCCGCTTTCTATCTAGGAAGAAGTATAGTGGGTGTGGGCTTGCAGATGGTATCATCGGTAAGCGGCTTGGGATGGAACCTCTTCCATCACTGTACGTAAGGATGTATGTATGCGTATGTGGCATGTATGTACAATGACGCGCCGTTCAACCTCGGGCATTTCACCCCGAGAGATTGGGGTGCAATGCTGTACCATGACGATAGATTGGTGAACACGCGGGAAGAGCATGATCGCTGCAGAATAAATGTCGGGTGTAACGCTTTGTGTCTGTTATGTCGTCATTGTGCAGCGATTCTAGTATTGCTGTCTTCTTATGCTCAATTTTTTTTTTTTTTTTTTCTTAATTCTATTTAATTTTTGTTGTCGTTCGCTCCCCCCTCTTCGACTTCAATCGCTTAACGCTTGTACATATGGAGTATATTCCGAATGGATTCAGGTATCCAGACAGAGTTCATGTGCGTGTGTCCGTGTCCGAAAACCACCTCACCTCCGAGATCTAACTCACCTCATGGATGGTAGTTCATATGCATGCGAATACCATCAAGGATAACGTAAATTTACCATACCTAGACAGAGTACTACCCTATCCAACCTTTTTACCTATTTTGTCTATCATTCTCTGCTCCCCTCTCTGCTCCCCTCCCCCTCGATTCAGTTTAGGACATCGTATCAGCAAGGCAAAATCACCACCTCGACGCATGCATGTATCTATGCATGTATGCATGTATGTACATGCTACCAAAGGAATGGAGTACGCGGCCGGCATTTGCAGCAGGAATCGCACAGCACCATGAGGGGGGAAAAAAAGGAATGCTTGTCAAAGCTCCTAACAGTTATGCAGCTCTCTATATGCACGTGCTCCATACCGAAGGACAGACATGCCACTACAAGATCTCGCAGGCTGGGCTTTTCCATCGTAGCCTCAGAAAGTCAAACAGGAAAAGTAAAAAGTAGGGTAAAGATACTAGAGTCAGGTGGATGGTTGTGCGAATCAGAGGTCCTCGAGGGAGTATTACCGGTATTACCGCCGTCACTGCAGCCCGCAGCACACTGCAGGTTGCCAGGAGGCCAACTCACCATCCTCTCCGAGCAAACGGGCCAATCGCAGTTCGGGAAGGCTCGGGACTCAAGTCTTGGCCTTTGCTGGACTTTGTGATGGTCTGCTGAGGAATGCATACTGGGATTTTTTTTTTTTAGTAGATTGAATCTTCTTGTTGTTTTTGACCATTGTACATTTTATAACAATTTTAATTGATGTATGGCATTTCATTCTTTGTACCTTCAATGCATCCTATAGTAATCTTCGGGAGGCTGGAAAAGTTTCCACCTTCCATGGTTGGAAGCACAAAGTCCTCCGTAAAAAAAGAGAAAAAGGGACAGAAAATCAATCAATCAGCGTACAGGAAGTGGAGTTCTAAACTCAAGTGGATCCACTAACCCAGCACTACTTTCTCACTGGGAGCTTTTTCATCTCCAGTCGGCCAGCGAGAAAGTCTCCCCCACGGAACGGGTATACCCTTTGACGCATCTTTGTGATCTCCCTCTTCCCCGCTACCTTGAAACACACCCAACTCTCAAGGGCTCACAGCGAACCTTGGTCGCTGCATCTAAGCTCAAGTCTTGGCGTTGCCTGCGCCAGTGGAATTTTTTTACATTTTTCTGACCCTTTCTGACTTTCTGCCCACGCTTTGCTGCTTTGGTGCTGGTTGCCCCCTCCAGACACACTACTTGCCAGAGACACGGCACAAACTGTCTCCCACGCCGCCCCCCCCTTTACACTAAACATTCGACATTGGCTGTGAGGGAGCTTCTTCCCTGGTGCTAGTCGTCGACAACTCTTGTGTTCAGCCCACCGCCCCTGATGATTATTCGCGCGCACACTCCCTCACACACCACACAGGCAAGACACACCACGGGAGGGCAAAGCACGAAAGGACTATGTGACATACGGTGTACGTACGCGTGTAGTTGGACTCCATACCTCTCTCTCTCTCTCCTGAGAGGATATCCGTAGTTGGTTCTTTTTCGACTCCATATGTCTTTTTACTTCACTGTTTCTACGGAAAACCCACATCGACTCCCTCCTTTTCATTTTTTAGATCATTATATATATATATTTTTTTTTTTTTTTATTCTCTTATGCCTTTCTGGGTCAGTCCTGTATGGCTAACCAAACATCACCAACACCTTTTATTAGATAGTACTAAAGCCATGATATTATTGCAGCTTACGCACAGCCTATAGAATACAATCCAAAAAGGAAAGAATAAGAATGACTCTACTATACTTTTCCGATGCCGGAGTTTCAGATGTTTCCCCTATCCTCCCACTCTCCCCTGCTTTTGCTCAGATTAAGAGGGAGTCTTGGGGTTGGTTAATTTATCGCGCTTTGTCAGGGACCTTACTTTTGAAACAAGTGTTGTTGAATTCCCTAATCTAATTCTTTTCTTCTTCTTTCTATTTAAGATTATCAAACGCTATTACAATGAGGATTATGATGTTCATGCTGAAGACGATGGAATTTGCCCATGGGTAAAAATAGAAAATAAGCAATTGGGTTTTTTGGTTTTAATTTTCCGTGAAATTAGGGTGTTAGACTTTTTGGAGTGATGAGGGAAATGAGTTGTTTCCTATAATTCGAGATGATAGAGAGAGTGGGTGTGAGGGTTGGAGATGTGTAGAGAAAAATAAATAATAAAATAAAATAAAATAAGCAAAGTCTTAGATAGTAAAATAATCACTTACCCCCCCTCTCTCATCCAAAAAAAAAAAAGAAAAAAAGAGAGAGAAAAAGAAAAGAAAAATTCAAAACTACAAAACCAAAAAAACCAAAACCAAGGAAAGCCAAAAAAGACCCATCGAAACCTTGAGGGTCACCCGAGGAACTGGTTCCTATTTGGAGATTGAGAAAAGCCCACACTGACTTTGGGACTAAAAAAGCAATTAATACTATTTCCTCAATTTTTTTTTTGAATTAAAAAATAAATAATAATAATAAAAAAAATATTATTATTATAAAATATTATTTTTTTAACACTGGCGCCGTTTCGAAGCCTAAGCGGCCCAGAGTAACGATCTGCAACCGTCTCCGACGGGACGTCGTCAGTGGCACTAAAAGCCCATCACCAACACGGCAACGACAGGGCTTCCCTTCGTCCCTGCGCTCCATCACTCATCCTGCGATCCTGTATTTGCTCATAAGCTTCGCCGATCCCCTTCGGGCCCTTCCCCAGACTGTCTTTCATTCTTCCTGTCTGTCGGGTTTCAGGGCCTTTCTTTTACTCTGTCTCTGGATCTATTTGTTCCTGGCTCCCTCCCGCCGAAAGATTATCACTATTTACTTCTACTTCTACCATCGACTCCCTTCCCTCTTCTTTCTACCTTTGCGCTGATCAGTCTCAATTGATCTTCCCTTGTTACTCCCCTTTCTTCCATATCGTGCCCCTCACCGTACCTGTCAATCACACACGCTTCTTCTCTTGCTCTACTTGGCTTTGATCATCCTGCCCTTGATCGTCCGTATCACCCCCGTTGGTTTGAATTGCTGAGGGGCTCCACGGCAACACCAATTGCGCAACAACAAAACAAGAGCTTAGAGAATATCTCTGTGACAAAACTATCCTCCATGACTATGGTTATTGAAAACCAGAACCGCCAATACGGCGGAATGGGCTTTGACAATGTTTACCAACATAATCTGCCACACCACAACACGCCGCAGTTCACTGACCCGTGGACCGCTGCCCACACCACGTCGCATTCGACGCCGCCTGTCTACGCGACATCCATGGCATCCAACCCGATCCTGAACCACCCTAAACAGGAGGAAGTGAGCCGCCCATCCCCCCTCTCCATGCCCTACTCGAGCATCCCCGTCTCCGCACCCTCGATGGTCACCAGCAGCACCTACTCGACTACGCCTGCGACAAGCTACCCAGCACCGGAAGTTATGGGTCTGCACCACGATTTGCCTCGCACGTCTTTCGAGCAGGCCCCTACATACACGACTGCTTCCTCTATGAGCAGCTTCGCGCCAGCCAGCTATGCGCCACTCAGCTACGCCCCATCTTTGCACCACCAGGATAGTCGCCGGATATCTCATGCGTAAGAGCCCCCCAGCTACAAACTTTTTGCGCGTCTTGGGATTTGGAACCGAGCGCTTACACTTTTTTTCATTTACAGTGATCCCCGTGCCAGCCAATCGCAGCCCTCATCGGCTCCTACCTTCGGTGACGCCCTCGACGCCAGTCGCGGAATGGTCGCGCTCAGCCAGGACTTGACTCCCCGTAACATTTACGGCCCTCGCAACACCCGGGGCTCTGCAGATTCTTATGGATTCCCTTCTACACACTCGTCTGGTTCTTCGATCTCTTCCGGTGGCGGCTACCCCTACTACAGCGCTTCAGTCGCATCCGTCGAGTCTTCTGTGACCGACTATAGCTCCACGACTTCTGAGTCCTACGAGAATGGACACTTGTCGCGGACTCTTCCTCGCCCATCGAACCTCTTGACTGGTAGTGCTCCCCCGGGCCCCCAATCCATGATGAGCCAGTTCAGTTCGAAAATGCCCTCCAACACTCAGAAGAAGCACAAGTGCAAGGTGTGCGACAAGCGCTTCACCCGCCCGTCATCTCTACAGACCCACATGTACAGTCACACTGGCGAAAAACGTAAGTTCTTGGAAAACCCGGCATGGTACGCAATCCATACTAATTACTTGGGATACAGCTTTCGCCTGTGACGTAGAGGGTTGCGGTCGACACTTTTCCGTTGTTTCCAACCTTCGTCGACACAAGAAGGTTCACAAGGGCGAGAAGGAAGGCGCCTCGGGTGAGGATGAAGAATAAGCAAATCTTGTCCTCACTCGACCTTCTTTTCTACTGCCCTTCCCTTGAGCCTTGTCCTCGCGCAGAGCAACAGAGAATTTCGGATCGAGATACTCAACGGACTGCGCTGCAACCTCCTTTTCTTTCGGAATGGGTATACCCCTTGTACAACAAACTTCAATTTTCGTGACTTCTCTTCTTTTATGTCTCCGCAACACGCGGGGAATTGATACCCCTTTTATTTTTCGCTTTTCATTTTATCATGGATCGGCAGGACACGGCACAAGGGCAACGGGAATTCGCAATGATGTCTCTTTATTCCCCACGTTATGACCATAGAGGTACTGGTTGTTTTCTGGATGGTGATTCTACTTCTTTCTCTCGCTTAGACTAGGGTTTTGGTTTTTTTTTTCTCTTTTTCTTTTTTGACATGAATCTTCAGATACCAACTGGGTTGTGACATGTTTTGACTTCTTTTCTGCGTTTCCGTGGCATCGCTTGTTTGGGGTCCGGAAAACATACGCAGCGGGCAATCGTTTACTTTTCTTTTCTATGTTCCTTTTTTTAGAGCATTTCTTTTCTCCTTTGCTTTCTAGGGGTGATGCTACGACCAGTAGCTAGTTGGCTCAGGCTTTTACATATCGGGTGAAATTGAACGTGAAGGAACTGATACCCGTTGCAATTGAGTGGAGCATATATGGACTGGAATATTGGGGGTTCTTGTTTGGTTTGGAATTCAGAATAGACACGATGTGTCATCCACGGTCGCTACTACTATACCATATTATTGTCTAATACAGATTCGCTCTGAAACCAAGATTTTCCTTATCCCTATAAACATGATGTATTTACATTCAGATAGCAGGGACAAAATTCAAATCCAATAAAAACAGAAAGAAGCCCGAGAAAGCACGATGATCTACATATTTGGTCTTGTTCCTTCGAGCAGACATATACGAGTCAGAATACCAATTGTGCTTTATTCCATACTCCGGAGCACATTGATTCATGTTAAGAATGCATGCCCGTTAAAAGAAAATGCCAGCCACCGTTGATACTGAACTGTAACAAGTCTCGCAAATAGGTCTGACATACGGAGTATTCTAGATACTACTATATGGCATGTAAATACATTGATACAAACTGGCACGATGTATTCCAGACAAGTATACAAGTATATGAACCGAACCATCTCGGACTTCGTACCAAGACAACATTCATGAGCCAAATACCAGGCAAACCCATAATCCATGAATCGCCACTAACATAAAATGACCATCTATCTCCCTGTGGGCGAATGTATGTATATGTACGGGCCAACAAGAAAGAAGGGGGCAAAAAAAAAAACACATGCTCCTTGAGGGAGTCGAACCCTCGACTTCAGCTAGTCGGCATGCGGAATCCAGAAACGGAGTTGCCACATAAGAGCCACGCCATAACCACTAGGCCAAAGGAGCCTGGTCTTACCCAGTGGCAAATCTTGTATGGCTTGTGTTTTCATTGTTTTACCTCGTTAAGGTGTGTTGGATTGGGTGGGTGTTTAAGCTGTGTGTAGGTGTTTCTTCATTTGTTTGGGGTTTGTGGTAGTGCTAGTATACGGATTGGGATTGAGGTTGTGTTTGGGTGGGGTTGGTAAGGTAGAAGGGGGTTTGGGGTAGGGTGCTTTTTGGTTTGCGGGATATGGGGTCGTTTGGGGTATGGGTTTGGGGTTTGGGGATGTGCTTGTTTTTCTAGGGGGTTGTTTATTGAGTTGTAAGAGGGGGTGTGGAGGTTGATTTACTTTTTTTGGCTGTAGAGTCTCAATGCCTTTATATTGTGTATACTGTCCTGTATCTTGTATCTATATGCCTTGGGTTCTATGCTTGATAAGTCTATGCGGCGGTTGTATCGTTCTCCTTGGATGGACTCGGTTTGACTCGCTCATACTAAGCAACAGTCAGAATCACTGCATCTCAATAGCCCGAATAGCTGGAGTATTGTTAGACGTATCCTCCGACGAGCCACCACCATGCAGCCCCAAAACAGTCACCTCATGCTCCTCAGAGAGATGATGAGCACCAACAAAGAACCCAGCAACAAGACTCACACCCGCAAAAGCAACATACTAACGACGCAGTCAGCAAGCATTACCCATCTACAAAAGAGAAACAAACCAGAATCCACGTAGCTCGCAACGAACCAAACACCGCCCGCCGGACCACCTCCCTCTGATCCGACGGAAGCGTCCCAATCAACGGTATATTGGCCGTGACATTTGCGCCTCCAAACTGACCAGCGAGCTCAGCCCCCAAAGATTGCACAAGCTTAGGACCTTCCCTCACCATCTGGTTCTGGAACACGGCTCCTCCGATAACTACCGAGATCGCTGTTGACATAGTTCGCACGAACCCGATTGTAGCGGTGGCTGTTGCGGTGTTCTTGGCACCGACAATCGCCTGTAGTGCGAGCAGTGGCCCTTCGAAGTTCATGCCTACCCCTGTACCCGAGATGATCTGGAACCCAATGATCTTGCTCCAGTTGGCTGTTGCTTCTAGGTTGATGAGTAGTCCCACTCCGAGGGCTAAGAGGCCAAGACCGAGCCACATTGGGGGTATATATTGGCCTGTTCTCTGGATGAAGAGTCCCGTGAAGGCTCCTGAGAATGTGCTGGCGATAACGAAGGCTAGCAGATAGACACCGGACATGATTGGGCTGGCGTCAAGGACGGCTTGGAAGTATAGCGGTAGGTAGTATGCCTCGCCCATGAATATAAATCCGTGACAGAAACAGACAACAAAGGCGGCGATCCCGGATCGGTGTTGGAAGAGGATTAGTGGTATTACTGGGTATTTGGCGAGTTTCCACTCGTTTAGGACGAATAGGCTCAGGACTACAATGCTGAAGATGATTAGGCAGATGACTGTTGCTGAGTCCCAGGGGTGTGTGACGCCCCCGAAATCTAGAGCGAGGAGTAGCATGATGCTGCTGCCGATGACGAATAGTGAGCCGATCCAGTCGACGGCCTTAAGACCGTCCCAGATTGGTGTATGTGGGTTGTCGAGTTTGAGGGCTAACCATAATAATAGAAATGCAAGACCAGTGATTGGTACTGAAGTAATGGTATGAATCAGTTAGCGATCTGTTGGGTACAATGAGTTGTTGATGGGTAAGCAGAAAATGCCATACAGTTGATCCAGAAGCACCACCGCCAGCTGTTATGTCTCCATTGATTAGTATGTCAAGAAGCTGTCTGGCATCTCCAAGTAATACTCACGTTGCTTTCTCCGATAGCACGCCGCCTAAGATGGGACCAATTCCGCTAGCTAAAGCCCAGTCTACGGACAGAAGACCAAAATATAGGCCTCGATCCCTCAGAGAGAATAAGTCACAGACACAGATATTGACCAATGTCATCAGCGCTGCCGCGCCCAGACCTTGCAGAACACGGCCAAGCAAGAACAGTGCCATCGTGTTGGCTACGGAGCAGATCAAACTTCCAGCAAAAAAGATCGCATTGCCCCAAAGCAGAAGCGGCTTTCTTCCCCATATATCGGACAGTTTACCCCACGAGGGAACGGAAGCTGTGTTGGCCAGTATGTAGGCACTGCCGATCCAAGTGTACCCTGAAGCTGAGTGGAAATGGCCAGCAATAGAAGGCAGAGAAGTAGTGACGATAGTGGCATCTAACGCAGCCACGAATGTTCCGGCGCAAAGACATGACATAACAACAGATGTCTGAAGGAGACTGCGGCTAGGAGCATCTGTTGTAGCTTGAGGCTGGCTTGAGCTCATTATTTACGGCTGCGCAGTTCCTTTCACTATGGCCATTACACTCCTTTTATGAATCACTTCGGTCTGCTAGTTGTCGTAGCGTCATTGAAAGACAAACTTCTGCTAGTTCTTTAGGCCTGGGTTGCCCATGCAGTTCTGGTTTGGTTTGTACTCACAGCAACAACTTACACCAGTAAGCAGACACAGATTCTCACACTTGCTTGTCGTTCTCCGAAACCAGCCGAGATGTAGTATAAGCCAGATGTTGGCTCAAAGCTGCGAAGAGCGGTATGGAGAGGATACAGTCCGGCTCTTGCGCTGATTGTGTCAAGTATCTCGGATTCGAGCCGTACCTCGACAAACGATATAAGAAAAATTGAGAAGGGGATAGTGATAAGTATGGGATAATCAAGGCGTTGCGTTGTTTTCTGACAAAAGCAGGCCGTTCTCGTTCTCGTTCTCGTATTCGTTGTCGTGTCGCCCCAACATCTTTGCCCAGGGCTAGCTACAGTCTAACCATCGACCACACTCACGTCAGTATCTTAGCCACGACGACAAGACCAGAATTGATGGAGGTAGGCAGTACTTCTTGCACTCCTAGTTTAATGTGCGTGATTGTGGAAGAGACGCTCAGCCCATCGAGCGTGGTCTATCCTTCCTGGGCCTCCCCATTGTAATACTTCACGCGCCGGGGTTGTCTTTATATGGTCCTCAACATGCCACCTCGACGGTCGCACAAGAAATCGCGAAATGGTTGCGATCAATGCAAGGAGAGAAGAGTAAAGGTACGAATTACTTATGCCCCGGGTATGCACTGGAGTTTCTTAATATCGAACCCAAGTTCCAAGATAACCGGTGGGTCCCATAAGCCTTGTACACATACCCTAACCTGTCCGAACTAGTGTGATGAGAAACATCCGATATGCTCTAATTGCACCTCTCGGGAGCTTATTTGTACCTATTTGAAGATCCCTATAGTCTCAGCCCCGAGACGCACAGTTCATGCAGTGACCGATCGTTCCCAAGACTACCACCACCGGAGACAATCGCAGTCAAAGCACCATGACAAGCAGCCTATCAGCTCCGTAAAATCTGTCGAGCCAAGCTTTGTCCTTCGTGATCTCGAACTCATGCATAAGTTCTCGACCGAGACGTTCCAATGTCTATGTGGAGACCAGTCTGACATGGGTGACTGGCAGGTCCTCATCCCCCAACAAGCATCAAAGCATACTTTCTTACTCCATGGCATCCTCGCACTCGCAGCTTTGCATATCGCAGCTACAGCCACAGAGCGTACTATCGTGCTGTCATATCTCGATACTGCGCTCCAATACCACAATATGTCATTCGCCCCATTCCGACAAGCGCTCGACGCCCTCACCCCGTTGAACTGCGACGCTGTCTTCGCCCAGTCCGCCATAATAACCGTCATTGGTATCGCCTTACCGCGCCTCAACGCTCAACACAGAGGCGAATGCTTCAGCATGATCGAGAACATGATCACCGTGTTCGAGCTCCTACAAGGCTCAACTAAGGTCTCCCGCATCAGTCGACCATGGCTTAAAGCCAGTATGTTTTCTAAATACGACTTCTGGCTGATGGAAACCGGAGACTTGGATTCCGAGAAGACTGTTGCTATAAAGAAACTAAGCCGGTTGAATACCTGTATCGCCAATGCTGAGCAAGGTGGTGCTAATCGTGAGGCGATTGACCTGTTACAATCTTGTTTTGCTAAGTTTGCTCGTTCGTCTCATCCTGTGGCTATTCTTGCTTGGTTGGTCTATGTGAAGAAGGATTTTATTGATGGGCTGCGGATGCATCAGCCGTTTCCATTGTTGATTTTGATGCATTGGGGCGTGTTGTTGAATGATCTAGGGAGTCATTTCTGGTGGGCGAAAGGTTGTGGTAGGGATTTGGTAATTGAGTTGTTGGCTGAGATTATAAGTGAAGACCCAGTATGGGAGCAGGCTTTGGAATGGCCACGGAAAATGGTAGGGGTCTGATACTTAATTGGAAGTCATATCTGGTAAGGCATACATGTACAGAGCATGGTGCGATGCTGTACATGTTTGAATGTATTCATGAACGATGGGAATATAATACATGATTATACAGTGATGTGTTTTCTTGCCACTGGTCCCGCTAGGAGGTTCGTTCAACAGAGCTAGGCAGCCATATTGATCCTTCTCAAGAGACTAGTTACTGACGCTCAATCCACTTCTGGATGACCTCAGCGACCTGGTCACTGTTCTTCTCCATGAACACCATGTGACCATTACCGTGGATGCCAATCTCACCCAACTGCAGATGCTCCGTGGACACGCCAGCCTGACGCAAGAACTTGACGGTGCACCAATCATAGGGAGCATGGTACGAAGACTCGGTGGTCAAGATCATAGTTGGCACCTTCTGCAGGTTGACCAGCTTGCGAGGCGCCGGGTGATCGGCTTGAATGACACAAGGAGAACGCGCAGTGGAGTTGCTAGGGATAACTTGGCGCACAAGGTCCTTCTTGGGGTCTGACACGGCGGGATCAAAAGTAAGGGGAATGTCCGTGAGACCATACGGACGAGAAGAGGTGTTGCTGAAGACAGCCTCCTGGAAGGGAGGGCCGGTAGGTTCCAGGGACACAATGGCGTGGACAAGCTCTGGGCGCACATCGGTGATGATCCATGGCATTAGACCTCCCTGCGAGTGGGAGAGCAGAACCGCCGGGCGACCGATAAGGTCCAGCAACGCCGCACCGGCCTCCTGCATGGTGTACTGCTGACCGGTGCTAGATCCAAAGAACTCCACGGTTGAGGCGTAGTAGGTGTCAAAAACCGGATCACCCATCATGCCGGTGCCATTCCACTGAGTGTGCAACGCGGCTTGAGGCCAGAGCATGTAATGCTTAGCGGCTGTGAATCGCTGCTGCAGGATCTCTGCGCTGTAGGTTTTCAGGGTGCCATTGCTTGGGAACAAGGGGCTGCGGCCACGGAAGGTCTGATCGATCAGATAGCATTCGTAGCCCTGAGAGAGGAAGTAGGATGCCCAGCCGCTTCCACCGTCGGGCTTGTTCAGCCAGTTCTATAACATCAGAGTTAGCCAGGCAGCCTTTCTGCGGTCGGGATATTTGCAGCTTACCGTGCCGGTTTGCGCTTGACCATGAATAAACACAATTGGGTGCTCCTTGCTCACACCTTGTGTGGGAGTGAGTTTCTCCACATACATCTGATCTGTGAAGACATGGCCACCTGAGCTGTCCTGCACATACTGGCCCCCGACATACAGATAATTGCGGTGATAAGCTACCTCAGCGTTGGAAACGATGGGGGTGTGCGCCACGGCATTGACACCGGCAACCGAGATCAAGATCCCTGCTAGAGCGTTACCGAGCCGCATCTTGGCTGCTTCTGGAATATACAGATGACAGAGATATGAAAAAAAAAAAAATCAATGCAAGGAGGGATAGAAGACGGGGGATCTTCGGCAGAGAGCAATCAGGCCATCGGCTTACCGGTAAAATAGTGGAGCTCCTCACGGGGCAGTGAGACACTGGTTCCATCCCGTTATACTATGAGAGGTAAGGTTAACTGAACATCTCCCTTTGGTGGGACTGAAAATGTAAGTCATATAATTCCCCTATATGATTTGTACTCTTACTGTAAAATGATTCGTTCAGTACTGTCCTAAGGTGGATGCAAACTTTGCTATAAGGAATTTAGCGTCCAAATACGAGAAGAACGGTGCTAGACTAACACTTCTAGCGAACCCTAAAGAATTAACTTTTCGTATTAGAACCTTGAAACTGGGTCTCTGCACGGAGATGAGTGTGAAAAATGGCGAAGAACCGAGGCCGACCGGGAGTTGCGATCTGTTCATATAGGATCGCACCAGGTTCGACAGTGAAACTCGATCGCATTCGACACAGCCGACATGATGTCAGAGTGGTAGGGCCACAATGGACGACGCGACTCTGGTGTCTCTATGGGTTCTCACCTGGTGCGCGGTCGGGTTGATCTCGATACGCTTGGTGATGCGGAAAATTCGTGGGAAAGCATTTGTCTTGGGCGATTATCTGTCGCTCTGTGCGATTCTCTGTGCATTGATCCGGTTGGCGCTCGTTCATGTCATCATTATCTGGGGCACGAATAATATGTCGCCTGGATTTCGATATTCGCACCACTTCACCTCGAAGGAGATCTATCGTCGAGAAACCGCGAGCAAGTTCACCCTGGTTAATCGAGTCTTCTACAACACATAGTACGCACATGTTGCCAGTCCGTTGAAAAACACCGCGGCAGCTGACAATCCAATCTCAGTCTCTGGCTTCAAAAGTTCATCTTGCTTGACACGTACCGTCATTTGCTCCGCAACCTCAGCTGGGAACGCATAACTCTGGGCACATATGTCTTCATATTTGCCGCAACCTACGTGACAGTTCAGATCGTGACCTTCACGGAATGTGACCCTTTCGACCATTATTGGATTGTGCTTCCAGATCCTGGTGCGTGCGCCCTTTGCCTTGGACATCCTAGATTGCTCCCTAACCATGACCGACAGGACTCTGCTCTCAAGCACAGCTGCAGCTAGTTGTACTAGGTGGGTACATACAGGTTGAAATTCTCTCCGATAGAGGGAGACTAATAACGTATGGGGTGACGATAGGCGTCCTGAATATTGTTACAGATCTGATGTTGATCGTTTTACCGGTCCCACTATTGGTCAAGGTCAAACGGCCTTTAATGGAGTAAGAGAGTCATTTGGTTGCATCAGGAACTACGTGCTGTGGTAGCGGGGTTCTGTTAGATTCACCTACTAACTACTATATGTATCAGGAAACTGCAACTTGCAGCCCTTTTCGCTGTTGGTTTTTTCATCGTCGTGATTACCGTCATCCGTCTTCCTCAAAATGCCCGGCATTCAACAGCGCAGGTGAATCGCACAACCTGGGCATCTGTTGAGCTCTTTGCAGCGGCAATCGTGGCTAATGCACCAGTTTTATACGGATTCTACCGAGGAGAGCGGGAAGCATCTCGGTCGAGGACCACCGAAGGAACAACTCGGCAGCAGTCATCGCTAGGGCGCGGAGGAACAATCTCACGAGATCCGGAGTTGGAGATGCAGCCACTACCAGCAGGCCACCTCCGACAAACTTCTATGCTCGGGTCTAAGCGTCGCTCACGGCCCATGCACGGTTATACGGAAATCGATGAGGGCAGTAGTGGCCATCTGGTTAAAGAGCAAGGATGACGAGATTTAACGACGCCCCCGTGCTGCAGCAGACAGGCTTGATACCTGATAATGCAGCCCTCAGAAGGGGCTGTATTTTATGATATTGGCTATTTCCAACACGTTGCACGTTGGCATGACATGTTTTCGACTTATAATTAGATACTAGCCTAATAAAGATTTGATACCCTTATAGACGGCAGAGTGCTAGAAACGCAGATCGCGGATATATACACTGAGATTTACCGAACATACTACTCCTTCTGATATGCAAGTTCTGATTGATGTCATGAGACATATACATTGTAACATCTAGCTATGCAGGTCAGCGGAAGTAGAAGCTCATAGGGTTGTGCCGTGCATCGATGAAACCCCGATGGCTATCCTAGTCTGCTGACTTGTATTTATCTCATGACCTACTGCTAAAGAATACTACTCTACCTAATTCGTTCTTTACATACTTGTCACTCAATTCCTTTCTTGCTTGATTGAGATGAATCCCGTTCTATATCAGAGAATGTCCAAAAACACGTCATACGGTAATTCACTTCCACTAAGCGCCCAGTAACAGTAAGTTTCCTTTATCTCTGAATCTACCAAGCGAAATGGGGGAGTTGTATCAATTTAATCTATGACACGTGTCGATGTACGGCGCTTAACAAACGTATGCGGTTGGTTATGTGTCTTCGGCATATGTATCGTCTCGGCCTCAATTCCAACTCTTCACTGCGCCCCCTGTTGGTTTTGCGGTGCATAGAAGTTTATTATCAACCCGAATGGTGAGGCACATTCGTCTCCAGGCCTCATGCACGGCTGTATATTGTTTTTGAATTCTATACAACTTCCATACTTACAATGTAACAGAGTAGAGAAAAGGAAAAATTCCCGAAACAGTATTGCGAGCTTCAATCGTTTGAGATATAGGGGAACTGATAGACATTCAGAGCACAACAACCTACAATGGGCCAGAAACGTTGTTCTTCTAACTTCTCGCCGAGCGGCTTAGCAGATGCGATATCTTCAGGTAGCCTTGAAGGATTTTTGGCTTGGTAACCTATTCGCAAGTGAGGGTGTATATATGGAGGCAGTGTACATATCCAACAGGTGCTACAGGATTAATGCTTCTCTGTGGAGCAGCATTTTTGCAGAGTTACTCACCACAGTAGGTATCCATGTAAAAGAACCGCCAAGGCATAAACTGTGAACTTCTCATTCACAAATTACCTGATAATGAATCTGGGAGGGCCTATGGAATGGTAGGTCTAAGTGAGTTGGATGTGTTAAGTGCCAGGCCAGAGTGAATACCCAAACGCAGAAGAACACTATATAAGAGGAGCATATCTCCTGCAATCCAAGTTTCATGCAACTTTCCTACTCGGTCTTGCTTGGCTCAAATATTCTGCCTGTTATTTCTCTCTTGCTTCACGTTAACCAACCTTCCATTTAACATGTTGTTCATCAATGTACTGCTCTTCTATCTTGCCATACTCCGCGCCGAAGCATCACCTGCCCTCCCCTACATCGCCACTATGTTCTCTCAGATCTCCCAATACCTCAACAACCTCCACCTTTCCAACTGCCCTCTCGCCAAAACTAACCTCCCATCTCATGGATCGCTCCCGGGGCCCAGCCCAGGTCTCAGCCTCAAATACGTTACGATAGGACGAGGAACACAAAGCTACACTTGCCAGGATGACTCCAGCACTACAGTACCCAAATCCGTGAGTGCCGTTGCAACGCTGGTCGATGTTTCCTGCCTCGCCGCGTCCAATCCAACACTTCTTCATAACTTCACCCCTGTCGTGAAGGAAGTACAATCTGAGGCACTTCCCTTCCTTGCCGTGCTTGGCAGTCAGCTCTCCTCGTCAGCTACAAAGTTCATCTTGGGAAAACACCAGTTTAATGCTGCTGGCCAGCCAACCTTCGATCTACGACTTGCTGGTGGGAGTGACTGGGTGGCATCCAAAAGGGCTGCGAGTAGTGACGCACCCGACCGTAGCACTGTAAACGTGCCTTGGTTGAAGCTCACCTCCGTTAGTGGAAATGGTATCAAAGTAAGTTGGGTATGTTTTGTCATTGGTAGATTGATGCTGATCCGTTCCTCAGGAAGTTTACCGCCTGCATACAGTGGGAGGACAGCCTCCAGCCAACTGTCAGAAGCGTAAGGGTACATTCCAGGTAGACTATGCGGCGGAATATTGGTTCTACGGTTGACGAATTGCCTTCGCCTACTCTTCCGATTCTGTGTCCCGAAGGCCCCTGGCCGTGCTATCCTATGTGCCGTACTTTGTTTATCCTTGTTTACTGTCCGTTGCCTTGTTTGTCTTGCTTAGTTATCATGCTACTGTCGCGGTAGTTTTCGAATGACCAGGGGTAAAATATCTTCATTAAAAATCCTAAACATAACCAGTGATGATGCTACAGACATAAAAGCTCTTGCAATATAAGCGCAAGCAAACTATGATACGACAAGATGCTCCAACCCGACCTTATCCGCCTCCTTGTTCAAAGCATCAATTTCAGCCTGAACGAAAGGAATCCCCGTCTTCACTCTTTCCTCGCGCGTAATCTGTTCAATCTCCCCAGGATAGTAGATCCGGTCCACACCAGCCATCTTCTCAGATCCAACCACCCTCTGATAAAGATAATCCATACGCTCCTTGAAGTCATCCAACCCCATAAACAAATCTGGCTTAATAGCCACCAAGAAATGGCCCACATCCGCGGGCTTCGACGGATCATAAGGGCCCGTAACATGCCCGGCAAACGCCGACCCGGACAAAACCCCAGAAAACACATCCATCATAACCGCCAACGCCGACCCCTTGGGACCCCCCATAGGCAGCATAACGCCCTCCAATGCCCGATTCGGATCCTCGGTCTGCCTGCCCTCCCCATCCAACGCCCAGTCAGCGGGGATCTTCTCCCCACGTCGGGCAGCCTTGTAAATCTTGCCGCGTGCCGCAATCGAAGGCGCCATGTCCAAAATAAACGGCTTCTCCTTCCCAGCCGGCGCCCCACACGCCAAAGGCGAAACCCCCATCAACTTCTCCCGACCGCCCCAAACCGGCAACGCAGGCGACGAATTCGTAAACACAAGACTCATCATCCCCGCATCCAACGCCTGCTGCACTATCCACGCCGACATGCCGAAATGATTCGAGTGCTTGACAGACACGAACCCGATGCCGTACTCGCGCGCCATCTCAATCGCCCGCGCCATCCCCATGTGCGCGGCCACGAACCCAAACCCATTCTGTCCGTCTACTTGTGCGACGACAGGTGTGATCTGCTTCAGGGACGGGTGGGCCTTAGCATCCAGCACGCCCTGCTGGATACGCTCCATGTATGATGGGATCCGGTTTATGCCGTGCGTGTCTACGCCCCGGAGGTCGGCTTGCACGAGGCATTTGCTGATTATTGTGGCATTTTCGAGGGGCACGCCGTTTGCTGTGAGGACTTTTGTGGTGAATGACTCTGCGTCCCCGGCGGTGATATGTTTCTTTTCTTGTTGGGGGTCCATTATGTTGCTGTTTTTTTTTTATGTGTACAATTGGTACAATTGGGTTGAGGATTAGGTTGTGTATAGTTGTTGGTGTGTATGGAGCGTTATATAGTCATGGCTTTTCCTGCGGCTTGTTCCGCTTCGGATCTGCCCCGCGTTGTTTAGTTGGGGGTGTTTGCGGATCCGGTCCGACATGCGGAGGGCATCCGCTGCGAACCGATGTGACTCGGAGTTAGTCATCTGGGGAGGTAAAACTGTTGGAGACGTAGTGAGGTATCTTGATTCTGAGGAGTGGTAGGTGTTTGCTTAATTGAAAGTGGTATGCATCGCTGTCTTGCATCTGATCTCAGATGCTCTGTACGTATTAGCAAAATATATATCAAGCGCCTTGTAAAGCTACCGTACAAGATGAAGACATTGAACAGTCTGTATTGATTTTATATTTATATTAGAATACCTACGATAGTATAATACTAGTATATAAACTTGTAATTATCCTGTCACGCATTAAATAGAACTCGCGAAGGCCGAACTATATCATAGGCCTATACGGTGCCTAGAACTACACAACGGTAACCTCAATTGTCCAGCCAAGAAAGTACCTATCAGCGACGTGCAGACCAGGACCTTGTATAATCTAGTTCTTGTTGATAACCGGTTCATTACGTCGATGCTTTGTCCAGTGGCGAGGAACATTGTAAAACGCTCTATATAAAGTAGAAAGAAAACAAGTATGTCAAAATAAATATTCGCCTGATCTAATATACTCTAAACTTTTGTCTAAAGCATTATCTCTAGTACCCATAACCCACATGTATGTGCAAACAGCTTCTATATACGCCTGTACCAATATTCACACAGGGTTAAGAGGCAGCTCTTGTCGGAAGACAAATCAACTGCCTATTTCGTTTCTGAAGAAGAATACTCATTCGCCTGCACGGCTGGTTGCTTGGTCTGTGTGTTGGCACTGTTTGTCGCATTCTCTTGTAACTTTTGCATGTAGTGGAATGATTCAGCGGAATACCTGCACCGCTTGCGGATATCAGCACCATAACGGTAAAACAAAAAAGGAGCGGGCGTGCACAGCAGCGACAGGAATGCGGGAATAGATGGGCCCCAGTGAATACCGACGCCATCATAGATGTATCCCGTAATAAGGGGAAAGACGGCACCGAATATAGAGCGGAGGATAGTGTTGGCAGCAAGCACAGATGCTGCGTAGATGGTGTACGAGTCAATTAGGTAGTTCATAACACCGAGATAGATGAGGATGACGCCAAAGCCGAATGGTGCCGTACCGATGATACTGACGATCCAATGAATGGAAGGATAGTCCGTCCAGGCGAACCAGAACTGGCTAATTGGGATAGCTACAGCCCCGACCATACACTGGAGAAGTCGAGCTTCCGGGGGGGCAAAGCCGCCGAGTCGGTCCTGAATCTTTATGAAGTGCATGTTGGCGGGAAGAGTGAAGATGATGCCTATTATCATGCCGATCATGATACCAAGGAAGGCTAGGCCTCCAACCCCGGGGTTCCATCCTCGACCCTGCTCATATACAATGGGAAATCCGGCGAAGAACATATATAATGTACCGTAGATGATGGCGATATAGACGGCAAAGAGGAGGACAATGGGCTCTGTGAAAAGTAGTACCAATGGCCTAGAGAGGGACCTTCTAAGCAAGGTATTAAGCGCCACTTTGCCTTTTTCGAGCTCAATTTTGCTACGGTAGACTTTGCCTGTGACTTGTGACAGGCGCTCAGCACGTTGCCGTAATAGAAGAGGCGCATATGTCTCCGGAACTGCGAACGCCATCATGATCCACACAAGTCCCCCAGAAGCGGCCAGAAGGCCTTCCACCCATCTCCAGCCAGCGTTCATGCTCAGGAACCCGCCGATAATTGGACCTAGGGCAGGCCCCAAGAAGGGTGCTGCAGCGTACAAACTGAGCGCTAGACCGCGCTGGCGGGCTGTAAACATATCAGATATCGTGCCTCCAGCATTGGTCAACGGTGCAGATCCAAATGCACCTGCGAAGAAGCGCAGGATCAGTAGTGACCAGATATTCTGAGCGCCGGCACAGCCAGCTGAAAATGCAGCCATGACCAGGAAGCTGACAAAGAAGGGTCTCTGGCGTCCGAAGACTTCACTAATGGGCGCCCAAAGTAGGGGACCCACTGCAAAACCTAGGACAAAGAGTGATAGTCCCAGGGTCGCTACCTCCGTGCTGACGTCGAATGATGTAACTATACTCCCAACACTGCCGCTGTATGTAGACGATGTCAAGGCGACGACCATTGTTGAAAACGCGACGACCAGAGTAATGGTCAATTTTCTGGCAAAACTGAAGAGCTGGGGATTGCGGGAGTCATTTGAGATCCAGGACACGACATATGGATCCTCCTCCGTTCCTGAGCCGGGGTAGTCAAAGTGGAGGACATTCTGGGTGATGGCGCCCTGATCAATGAGCATGCGGAAATAAGGGATCTTGCTTCGGTACACCCCTGACGGGAGAACTTTTTCGTTGGGATTGTTTTCTATATCATAGACTGTCATTTTGTGCTTATATGTCACAATTAATTAATTCAAAGAGGGTATCTTAAATGAGAGTCATGCGACTGTCAGGGGTATCAAGATAGATAAGGTAAAGAGAAAAACAAGCAAAGCTAGAGAATGTTGAAAGAGATTTCTACATTGATAACGAATTGTAGGCAGAAGTAGATGCTTCTTTGATGAGAAGTGAGTGTTCGTCCACATTTCCAGCTGGGGGGGTTGGGTTTCAAGTACTCTTATTAGTGGTGTATTATCAATGCAATGCAACATGACAAGAAGAAAAATTCCACAGGTGATCCGAAACGATCTTTGCGTGATGCCCCACATTCCAAAGTACGTACGACTCGAGGGCCGTAGGGATTCCCTTGTGTCTGATCATTTCTGTAAGGGTTTACTTGACTTGCGAGGCAAGGGTACTAAAACTCAAGGCTGATAAATAGACTCCAGGAAGAATTCTCAATTTGAACCTCTGGGGAACATGTCTCGAGCCGAATCTGTTCATCTTTGACTCGCTTGATATGCCTAAACGACAAACGAAGGGGAAGTGGAGCGAAAAGGCTTGCTTTGAATGTCAGATTCAAATATCGATCGGGTAATCGGCACGTGGGTCATTCGCTCGGGATCTCTTCCAGGCACTTACCGAGTTAAAGCTCGGCTAAACTGAACTACAGCATCGAAACTGTTACTATGGAGGCTATTACCGACCAGGGCGGGTGATCGTTATTTGGTATGTATCTAAATGTTCGAGGTTTAAATTTCATCTGTTATGATTACCAATTCCTTTTTGCTGCAGGAGATATACCCACATCATGCAAGGTGCTAGTACTAGTAGAACGTCTAGGGTACAAAAGGGAATGTTAGAATGGGCTACCAGCCTTATCAGCGTAGGTGAAACATGATCTGCCGTGATGTTCCAAACGCTACATATATCTTGCACTGCCTGCTACTGATCCTTGTAAACCGGTAAAATGTGGTCGGAAACCATAGTCATGTTGTCTGTACAGGTCCGTATATGGAGCAATTAGAAACAACCCTCGTGAACTTCGAGCCGGCTCCGATTAATGTATGACTTGAAAGATATAGACATGGTCTGCTTGCTCTCAGAACGGTCAACGCAGCGAATGTACTCGGGGGTTAACCGCTGACAAATAGCAATGCTGCTTATTGTCGTTTGTTATCAATCCATGATCTACGGACGAACTTCCAAGCGTAGAAATTACCGACAGACGCAGCAGTACCACTTTCTAAGAAATGACTGGGTGCTCCTTTAGATCAGCCTTGTTGTCTAAGCAGGTTAGAATCACTGGATACCTTTACTCACGAATATAGGCCGGTATAATAAATTAGAAAAACGAAAGAAATAGAGGAAGGCACATGCTGACAGAAGGTATATTCGTAGCAGCTCGTCGTTAGCCATATTACTCGTGATAATATTGCACACTATATAGCTCAGCAAGTCATTTTAGTACAATAAACCACTCCCCAAAATCGGCGCTAGCTAACAAGAATTAGATTTTAATCATGGAAGGATACTAGGTAACATGGACTGTCGCACAATGCTCATAGTCTATAGATCACATGATGATATCGGTGGCGCCGTGGCGCGGAATATCGAGAGTTGCCACAGCCACATCTCGCTTGCCATGTCATCACTTTCTTTCCAGCTTCCCGCCTTTCAGCTAGGAACTATCAGACGTTCCGATGAGCTCAAAATTTTCTAGCTGACCCTTTTACGCCAAAGGCTCTCCCACTGCCCAGTTGGCAAACTGCTATTGGAAGCTTTGAACATGACTCAAAAACTACGAAACCTTCCACCGTCAACAGGATCTAAACGGTCCTTGTGTAGCCCATTCCTCTTTATTCAGTAATATTGTGTGACGGCAGTAGATCTATTCCAATGTTTAGCTTCGAGATCTGTCTGAGGAGTTACCAGGATAATCCTTTTCTCATAGGCACAAGGCGAAGTGGATTAATTCACGTGACTACATATCCCGATTGGGAAGTCAGCCGCAGATAGGTCAGGTGTCCGCTACCGTGTCAACGCGACGCTTCTACCAAGAGCTCGGTTCAACCTTGCCATCTGGCTACACCACCCATTAAGTATCCAATACCAGTCCGAATCAACGATATTACTTGTCGCATGGTCGCATGACTGCTGACGACTAATATAAATTTTTTCAATCCTACGCGCTGGACCCGCGCCATCCGCTCATCTCCTCCGTCGCTAGTATCGCGCTCAACGAATCGCCGCTCATCTCCGAACGCTATCGACCATTGACGATCCATTCCATCAAAAATGGCCACCGACTACGGCAAGAAGACCAATGCTGAGCTAGTGGAGATCCTCAAGTCTCGCTCCTTGCCTCATACTGGCAAGAAGGCAGAGATGGTTGCCCGCCTGCAGGAGGATGATAACAGCAAGGTTCAGACTGCAGTGCCGGCCGCAAAAGCCGATAACGCAGAGGATGTGATTGACTGGGAGGATGATGATGTTCCTGCCGCAGATGCTGCCGCAACGAAGCCCTCGACCGAGGCTGGTGCTGCTACGATCGCTGCTGGCGGCCAGGCCGCTGTCTCTAACCCTTCTGCAGTTCCGAACCAGCAGCAAGACATCAAGCCCGCTACTACAGACGATCTTAAGGTAGAATCTAACGGGGATGCGGCCCCCACTGCACAAGAGGGAACCGAGGCAGCACCTCCTGAAGTGGCTGAGACGACTGAGGCAGCTCCGGCTGAGGAGAAGCCCGCGCCGGACTACTCCATTGGCCTTTCCGTTACTGATATGGAGGAGGAGTTGAAGAAGCGTAAGGCTCGTGCCGAGAAATTTGGTATTACTGAAGATTCGAAGACCGCTATTGAAGAAGCGGAGAGAAAGCTCGAGAGGGCCAAACGGTTTGGTGCTGCTCCCGAGGAACCGGCTACAACTGGAGTTAGCAAATTGGACCAGGCACTTCCCAGCGAAAAGACCCGCAAGAGGGGTCGCGGCGAGAATGATCAAGGCAAGCGGGGAGGCAAAAGACGGGAATTCGGTGGGAGGAACAGGAATCAGAATCAGAATCAAAATCAGAACCGGCGACGGGGTCCGAGTAATCGTAACCAAGGTCAAAACCAACGCAGCAATGAGAAGCCTGCCAGCAGCTTGAGTGAAAAGGATAAGCTCGCTTTGGAGGCTAGGAAGAAGCGATTTGGAACCGCTGCGTGATTAATTCCATGTTTTTTACCACTTTGTTTTTCTAAATCTGGTGCAATCTCATAGGCGTTTTGAGGGAATCATTACTGTGGAATCTTAGTCTATGCATTTACCATATTACACGGCACGTCTCTCCATTTTTTTTTTTTTTCCTTTCCTTGTTTTAGAAAGTGCCCAGCAATATCGGGTCAACCTCAATAGTCAGAAGCAATACGAGACACTCGTACTACTTACAGAGTACGTACATACAAGTGAGCGCGCTATTAGAGAAATATGGTGAGCCTGGTTTACAACCCGTAATAGGTAAAAGGATCAACAGGAAGGATGGAGACACCGTAACTGAACTGGGAGCTTCGACCGATCAGCGTCACAGACATAGTATATTTTCTTTTTCTTGATCCTTCCCCTTTCTTCCGTAGCATGCCATATGCTGTCCTACGTTATCATGTTGGTGTCAGACCCGTGGAAGTGGCGAAATACACGAGTCAGCTGAAAAGTGCAGGACCGGATTCTGTTCCTGCAGCAAACCAGCGCCCACTTCGCTCGGAATAGTATGTCGACTAATTTCCTGATCGGATCTGATCGACAACTGGCTAAGTGCGCAGAATGATCGCTATTGCAGGACAGAAGTACGGGCTTGGTCTTTACTTCAACTACTCTCTTTAGTCTGTCTAGATGCTCACATCGAATTTCCTCTCTCAACCAGTCCGATCACAAAGGCTGGGCCAACATCTCGAGTTTTTTGCGCCGATCCGTGATTGGTACTTGGAACATTTGTCTAGACCCCCGTACTTGCTGCGGCACAGCGACCGTGTTTTCACACCCGTTAAAGCATGTTCGAATTTACCGCCGTCCCCACAGGGGCCGGAAGTATCACGGAGGCCTCTGCTTTGGTCTGGCGAATCCCTCACCGCAGTTGCCTTTTGCCCACTGGTGCTAAAGTCTGGCGGATTGAATCCATGTCGCCTCGCGCGTGCCCGTCAGGCCGTCTTCCGTCAATCAGGATCGCCCATGGCTGGTTCTCCATTTAGCGGCGGATCAGGACCCACGGCTCAGCGTCCCCACACACAAAGGATACAGACTGGACGGTGCCATTTTGCATTTGGGGCCCGGCCTAATTGACCCCGGGGTCTCAGCTTCTTTGTCCGGGATGCCCTTTCATGTCTATGAGTGGCTCTTGTTTGTTATATTATGAGGTTCTTTCAGACCCATCTATTTGGCCCGTTTCGGCCTTGAACTTATCTGCCATCCCACTGATACCATGGAGAATTTGTTGTGTGTTCAAAGGTTCGCCCCGAACCTTTCGGCGTACCAGAAGCGTAGAATCTACGGTTTGGTGACGGGAGAGCAAAAGCCTTTCTGATGTGGCAGGCATGGAGCATTCTGGCACTCAGGTATGGTTGATTTTTAGAATGCATCCTGGATAAGATTATATAGAGAAAATACGGTGGGCAAGAGGGTCATCTTGTTAGAGTACGAAACAGCTCGTCTAGGAATTGTAAATTGTCATGTTGAACAAGGCAAAAGTGAGCGTCGTACATGCATCATGATCAATTAGTGGTGTTCGGCCTCGCCGGGGGGGACGATCGCAAGTCACTGATCACCACCTGACTTGGGAACTATTCATTACTAAGAAAAGAAATTCGCAAGAAATTGTCCGAATTCCGTCCTATCACAGCTTGCATACCGACACACAGACCAAATAGAGCCCTAGACTACTGCAACACCGCATTACCAACAGATTTGCTGATGCCTGCATCTGCCATCTGGGCGTGTGCTTGACGAGGGGCTTTTGGCGAAAGTGCCGATTGCGCATACGACGGACTTTTCCGCTATCTCACGCCACTCAACCCCATTCCAACCTGTCAACTGCCATGTTGCAGTGTATCCAATCCGCTGAGGCTATTATGTTACCAGTCAGAGTAAACTGACTGGGTCCATACAGTGGACCTGTCCTTGACTTCAGTTCTCTGCGTACTGCTGTGCACGTTCCTTTTACGGTTGACAGAGATCCACTCTTAGTCGGGGGTCGTGTTTTTAGAGGGAGTCTGCACCATCTTTACCTTTCTCGTCGATTCTTGGCGATTCTAAATTATCCAAGGCTTAATACAATCGCTAACAGAAACAAAGTTACCTGTGCTCGCACCAATAGTCTCCCCAGTCACATCTGTGCTCGACAACGGGTCCGATGTCGATCGCACAGAACCATCCAGGATTTCTCTCTGCGGTCTCTATATGGGCACTTAGTCTGCGAATAGAAACCATGTCTCCCCGCTGCGCCGGTCTGTCTTGGTATGGTCCAAATTAGCGCTGGGTACATCCTTGAACTTGAAAAGTCCAGATTGCCCCAAGTTTTCTCGCTCCATGATCTAAATTCGGCTCGTTAAAATTATTTCCTACCGTTTCCTTTCTTTTACTTCTTGCACAGCTGGTCTCTGTGTCAACGTTGCTAAATTACTACTATTTTCTATTTGTCGTTTTTGAAAATTTCTCCTCTGACGTGGTTGTGCAGACACAGCTCCCAACAGTCAACAACTTTGCATTGCATGTTAGCCACAGTGGGCTGTGGCGGAGTACATGCAAGTTGTCCGGTCATTCTTTAAAAAATCAGAAAGAAAGAAAGAAATTCACCGCTTTTAAGTACTTCGCTATCCTGGATATTATTGCATCACTATCTCCCCTCGTATAGAAAAGAGGTCGACGAGTTTCTTTTGGCAAAACTATCTTCTCTCTGCTTTGCCTGCTCTTCCTTTGGTGCTTATTCTGTCCCACCAATAGAACCCCCCCAACCCAATTAATATCTATTTTTGCCTCGTTTTACTATACGCCCTCAGAAATGCTGATATGGGTTTAATGGTTGCTGGCCAATTTTTTCTAATCTCGGTGATATGATTTGAAGGTAGGTAAATCTCGGCTCTCATACCGCACTTAGGTGTAATGCTTACATCGTTAGCGGTTATATTAGAAGCAGTGATCATTATTTAGCCGGGATGATTCCATGGCCACACTTTATTTCACCCACGGTTGGATTATTAGTCTTCGGACTGGAGCTGGAAATTTGACTCAGGTAGCACCATGGTGTCGCACAAGTCTGAGAGTGGCCGAATACCGCGGTTAAAGGACCTTGCCTACCAGTCGCGAAACGCACCCTTGCCTGTTATCAATGCATCGACGAGAGTCTCTAGTTCCTCAATTTCTATATCATCAGCGCTGCGCATTGCAAGGCCCACAAACATTAAGACCGGGTCCAACAAGGGATCATCTTTTTCCGACGCTGATTTACGTCATCCTGTAGCACCATCGAAGCCCTCTGGAATACTATCTACGCACAATGCCCGCTCGTTGTTGCCTCCGCGAGCAGCTACGCATCCATTGCCTTCAGTAGCTCATTCTACTCCAAGTGTGTTAAATACAGAGAGAGGACCACCGCCACGGGTGAACACTGAGACGCCTTCCAACTCACTGGCTCAACAGCCTATCCGTGGTAAACCACGGAATGTTCTTCGGAGGAAGGCACCGACTATTGGGCAACACACTGGGAATAACAAGTCAACTACCGAGGGTATAAAGACAGAAAAACTAAATGTTATGATCCCAGATACTATTCATCCGGGCCAAGCCATGGGTGGAAGTTCACCACCCCGAAAGAGTCAAACCGGGTCGATAGAGGAAACAGTTTCATCATACACACCTCAGGATACAACCGTGGGAAGACCTCCCGAACAGCAGGTTCACAATGGACCAAAGGAGCTTGCAAGTCTACGAACTACTCTCAATACGCAAAACCTACCTCCTCCAACTCCTATATTTGCCTCGGCCAGTAGTCCGTCAACAAGATACTCTGGCTCCCCGGGCATGTGGAGTAGGACATCAACACCCACATCCTTGTCCTCCTATTCCCCAGGAATTGTACAGCCAGTTAAGGCCGTACCCCGTATCAGACAACCAAGCCCATCCCAAACCAGACTTCCTGTCTCGTCGCGGGGGGTGCAACAAACATCACAAGATCATTCAGTCCATCCGAGAGCTAACAAGTCCCCTGGTTCCGTCCCAGAGCCGAGCGCAACCTCTTCTTGTAAAAGACGAAGTCAGGATTTTGCAGCGAAAGGACTGATAGCCGATACTTCCACTGTTTCCGACAGCCTTTTCTCCCGAAAAGCAGTCGCCAAATCTTGTCTCCCGAGAAAGACACAAGAGAAGGCTGATACAGAGTCAGGCTCCGTAAGCCAAGAGAACTCCCAAGCTATTCGACCACATGAGAGCACTGAAAGTAATGCCACGTACATACCAGCACGGCCGAGTAGAGAGGGAACAGATAGGTTGCAGGTGGAGCCATCACCCGTGGTCCGAAGTAACCTGTCACCTGATATAGTGTCAAGCCACAACAGACGTCCGTCAAAGGAAAGCTCATTCACTTCTGAGAGGCTTGCATTAGGCTCCGTTAAATCGGCGTCAACTTCAGTAGATTCACTACAGTCGAGAAGTTCTTCTCAGCTGCCTTCTCGTCTGTCACCTGAGCTTTCAAGAAAAAGCCCCCGGGCCTCAACAAGAGAAACAGAGGCGCGGCAGACGCCTCAGACCCCGGCAAGCCCATCCAAGATTCGAAGATTTGGGCTGTTCACGAAAAGGTCCAAGCCTGAATTGGAAGCAAAATCGTCCGAAGGAGGTCGTGCGACTCGCAAAGGTCCGTCTGCGGGAACGGGGCACGAAGGATACGGCAAATACGCACAACGCGGTCGAAGGGCAAGCGCCACCAGTAGCGGGTCTAGGGCAAGATCTACCAGCACGGTGAGAAGTGCATCTAGATCTGTTTCTAGTAAAGGAAGCATGAACAGTCGTCCAGACATGGAACTCGATGATTTCTTGCTTGATCGTCTCGAGCCTGTCTTTATCAATGGTGGAGGTGTTGACGGTGCGACATTGGCTCGAACACAGAGTGAGCAAAGCTCAAGCGGTCTTAGTACAAGCTCTGTAACGAGCCTATCCCAGAAGGCCGCAGCCCCAAAGTCTTACGGCTACTCCACTGAGTCGTTGACGTCTTCGACCGATACCATTGGCAAATTCAAGAGCCTTAGTCGAGAAACTAAGCCAGAAAATAATGTGTTGGCAGCTCCTGCATCTATCCACCAGCCAAAGATTCTCAATGCTGAGAACCTAGAGAAGCCAATATCGAGCTCGAATGTCGACTCCGAGAGACCCATGCCTGTACCACAGGTCCGTACAATTAGCTCTGGGCAATCCCGTCCAGGTGCTAGGGGTTCACCAAATTCTGTGAAGACGAATGGAGCGACGAATCAGTCAAATAAGTCACCCAAGAAAGGATTAGGTCTAAAGTGGAATTTTTTCCAGAAAAGCCACGACACTAAACATGCGGAGAGCGAAACTCCACTCCCACCTCCCCATCGTGTCCAAGCTAAGGTCTCGCTAGCAGCAGCAGCTCACCGGCCTATTGCACATTATGCCTTGGTTGATGCTGACACTGAAAGCTTGAACGATATTATACGGAATGTTCAGGATTCACCACCAACCGAGGAAGAAAAGCCAGATACTCCAGTGGAGATCCCAGCGGCCTTGAATATTAGGAAGCCCAGCGAATCTATTTTGCTGCCGTCCCCTCCTAAGTTGAACAGCGAATTCAAGGCCTCTACGAAGGTCTTCTTCAATAAGGATCAGGTGCCTCCCAGCTCCCCAAATCTAGCAGAACCCATGGAAGAGCAGCGCCCAACACGCCTCGCATCAGTTGGTCGGATTCCACGTGTAGTCTCGAGAAGAGACAGGCAGCACCGACCAGCTTTGCAATCTTTCTCAAGACCATTCAGTATGGCCGATTCTCCTTCGATCGCAGCCCCGGTGGCGACTACGCTATCTGACTTCTCACCGCCGGGCTTGCCCGCGCTGGAGGCTCAATCAGGGGTGTATCATGGGAATCCGTCAGGCTTTGGCTTTGATTTTACTCAACCATTTGGCGACCCTATGAGCCGTAGTGTTTTGGACTTTATTGCTGGGCCTTACTCTTCGGACCAATTCTTGACATTCTATCCTAGGAAGGAGTCAACGACGACCATAACAAGTTCAAGTGGCTCTGAGAGCCTAGCGGCGGTCACGGCTGTTATCCCGGAGCCTGAGTCCGCTTTAACTGAAGATGAAGTGTGGGGAGAATATGATGACCTCATTGATCATGTTCTCTCTCCTGAAACTGCGAGGCCTCTTTGCCCAGGTAATTCAGCGGCGGATGAGAAGTTTGAACTGGCCGCCATGGCAAGTAGAGCTCTTCAGGCTGAACTCAGTGGGTTCTCCGATCTCCAGGCCTTTCCCACAGCTGTTGAGAATCCGGCTGTAGCACTCACTCCGGCATCTCCAACTTCAAGCAGTGGGTCTTTCCACCTGAGGCGATCCAAGATTGCCCCGACTCTACACTCGTCACTTGTGCCTTCTAGTCAACCTTCGTTTAGTGACATAATCGCCTGCTACCACAATGATGGAAGTGTAGAAAATCTGCATGAAGAGAATCTGAACAATTTGTCAACTCCATCCCTGTCCATTGAGCAGCAGTCCAGCTTCCTCACATCACCTTCTCTAAATCCCTCACCAAGCTTCGAAACCTGTCGGCAACGGAATACAATTCTGTTTGATATTGCTGAGCGTGATCGGGAGGGGCCGACAGCGCAAACCAACATCAGATCCGGATCACTCATGACCAGTCGATGGTTGTCCTTCGGAAGGGTTCTATTCAGTCCTGCTCATAATCATATCAAAAATGGAGAGGAAGAGCGGATTCTAGTAGTGGATGGACTAGGAAACGATGACTGGTCGTTTTACTGTGCTTTGACATATCCTAATGCTGAGGTGTACAACCTGAACGATGCACCGACTCCGACGGGATCCAAACATCCAGACGCCTGGCAGCCACCATCCAACCACCACACTATCCACCATGCAAACCTTGAGTATCGGTTCCCGTTCCCTAAACGATACTTCACAGTGGCTGTTCTGCGCTTCCCCGCAGCATGCTCCGAACATGTTCAAGACAATATCATCTCAGAGTGCAAGCGTGTGCTGCGCCCGGGGGGCTACATGGAGATGAGCCTACTCGATCTCGACATGGTGAACATGGGAATTCGCACCCGAAAAGCTGTCAGAAACCTGAAGGAGAGGACATACCTAACAGACCCCAGTATCAGCCTCAAGCCTTCAAGCGACAGCATACAACGCCTGCTGGGACGACACGGGTTCGACAACCTACGACGCTGTATAGTACGGATTCCAGTCGCAGGGGTGATTGTAAGATCATCAGCCTCATCCTCATCCACATCATCATCGAACCCGTCCACATTAGCAGTGACAGCCACATCCTCAACCGCACTGTCACACCCCTCCAATTCATCGATAGGCGCCCAGACAAAAGCCCATAGCAAATCATCCTCCAACGACACTGACCTATCCCTCGGCGACCTCCTTTCGGACCCTTCCCCTTCGCCTTCAAACGACGAATCCATCCGAAAAATAGTCGCCAGAGTCGGTCGCTGGTGGTACACAAGATGCTATGAGATACCAGTCCTGGCGAACGGTGATGCAGGCCTCAGTATCTGGTCTGATAGGAAGGTACTCCGCGAATGCCAGAAGCGAGGCACCGGGTTCCGCCTCTTGACTGCATATGCACAGAAACCGAGCGAGAAACGCAGAACAGCAAGCGTTTAGATGAAAATGCTTGCTGCACATGAAACCTCATGATACATAACGATAAATTGACGATTTATGAATGAACTACTATATTCTCATTAATATCCTACGAACTGATATGACGGTTTTTCAATTGTCACGAATATTACCGATAATTTACTACGCATACCGGCAACGGTCAGAGGAAGACAAAAACAGATTGTTATGATACCTTTTATTTTGGTTTTGTTTTATGTTCCGGTTCTCTTTCAGGTACAGACGGTTTACGATGTTCGAAGATTTGGCATATGTGCATATTATCCTTCTGTCTGAGGACTGTGTGTTCTGCTTGCATACCTGGAGGCTGTCTGAACATTTATGATTGATTTGTTTGTCTAGCGTCTTTACCTCCTGTTTTATGTATGATCTTTCTTGACGAACTATTCTGCGTTCCTGTTATTGGTTTGATGTAACGCTTCTTTTCACTGAACTGCCTGGAGCAGGGATAACCATGATAATAATCAACCACTATACAACAATAATCACTTTACCTAGTAAGCGTGTATCGATAACCTGATAAACCAGTCATACGACGAGGGACCATTAGTATGAAGGAATACCTCGTGCACGATAGACGCATATACTGTATACTTCCATGTTGCTACTCAATACTATTATTACAGTGACATCGAGAAATATATATGTCAAGACACATTGACATGAACACGCATTTTAACACCAAATTGACTTCGCAACACAACTACAATCTCGCTGAACGTCATCAAAATGCACAAAAATGTAAGATACAGGATGGTGCTACTCCCTTCCATACCTCTCCTTCTCCCAAAACCAATGGTATAAGCTCCTCCACTCGGTCGCTTCATCTTCCACATAATCTCCCACCAACTCTGCCGTCTCGTTTCCCTCCGGCAGGCCAAGTGTTGGGGGAACGGGGCCGCTAGAACTCATTTCAATAGTTACATTGCCCGCATTGTGATCAAGAACGCTGGCATCTGTATCCTTGACTTTTTCAGCGAGGTCGCGGGCACCTTCTCGGGCAGCTTCGGCCCATTCCTCCGCTTGCTGGCGGGCTCGCTCGATCAATTCATCCGGTGTAGGGTATTGTCGAGAAGCGACGAGGAGAAGATAGTAGCTCTGTACAATGATGGAGTATACTGCGTCCTTTGCGAGCATGGTGAACCCGTGGGAGAAGAAGCCTTTGAGTACTTCGCCTGGTAGGCCTGCGTAGAGAGCTTGGATACCTTCCGTACGAGCTATACTAACCACATTGGAAATGGTGGACGGCATCAATGACAATCCATCATCAGAGTCGTCTTTCTCTCCACTATGAGTTGAAGGGGTGGCGCTCGAGCCGGTGACTTGGGCTCGAGTCTTAGCCATTGAAATCGGATATGTTATTGACGATGCCGCTGACTTGCTGATAGCAGCTAGCAGAAAGGTTGCAGCCGCCGACGGTTTTCCGCGCTTATTCCGGGGAATGAAACTATATTTCAAGAATTCATTTAGGAAGAATGTAATGGACGGATTCAGCGTAAGGATAAGAGAAGCCGAATAACCCGACCAGAACCCTTTGATCCCCTTCTCAGATCGAATCTGAGCAGCTATATCTCTAGTACTAGACGAAGATTTAGAGGTCTGCTTTCGCGCCACGATATTAGCCAACGGCGTCGTGAACAGCTTGGCGAACGCGCCCGCCAAAACACCGACGGCTAGCTCGTCCAATATAGGTAGGACAACATGCTTCCCGCCTTTCCGGGCGGGACCGTACCGGGCGTTAATCCTCCGCTGTCTGAAGAATCCGTATGCTAGGAAGAATAGGAACGAGTCGGCTACGGTTTTGACTGTGTCTTGGGCAAGACCAGTGTACAAGCTTCCGAGTCCTTCTTTGGCGTAGATCTTGCGTACTGCGTCGAGAATATTGGTGTAATCTTCCTCGTTTTCTTCATTACTGTCCTCCGTATCTTTGTCTCGACCTTCTGTCTTCTCCTCTTCACCCTTGCCTTCAGTCTTCGTTGTCTTTTTGGGGTTGCGTTGGTTTTGTGTTTGCAGCCGGGCAATGATAAGACTCAACGGGTACGTAGCGACATTTGAGATAGCCGCTCCAACAGCACCAGCTACTGCATTTCCGAGAGCTGGAAGAGCTGGGCCACGGAGGGCGGCTGTTTTCCAGTCTTTGTTCGGTCGGGGTTCTTCATATCGCTGGTAAAGGGAGTAGGTATCCTGTAGTTCAATGCCGACGGTATTAGAAAGTAGGATTCCGTGAGAAGTAAACAAGGACAGCGACAACATACCAGCTCAGGGTTATATGACACCTCGTACTCGGGCATTTTGTCTAGCGAAAATTGCAGCGTCAGGAAAACCTGTCAAAGTGGGGAATTATAGTACATGTAAAGGTCGATGATAGTGCTCAAGTCGTGGATTGCGGGATCAGAATCGAATACAGGGCGGCTGAGTATGGGCTCATATCGAATAGATATGAAGTAGAAATGGATAAAATTCGTTATCATGCAACATCCAGATGATTAGTATGCAGAGGTCTTCTCGTTGGACATCGGCCGAGGTTCAAAAGCCCTGGTTTGGGGATAACGTCACGTCATGCTCACGTGTGGCCCGTGCATGCAACGGTCGCGGCATGTGATCCTGAATGTAAACTGTGAACCTTCAGGCTCTACTCTCTGTCTACAAGATGTGATTCAAAAGAAAATGTTACTAGATAGTTGGATTGTTATTCCAATGAGTCTACAAAAAGTTCAACCCATTGCTCCCTCCAAACAAAACCGTACCAAACCCGATAGATACCTTCCTTCTGAACAAAAAAGCAAGCCGACCGTCCCAAAACCCCATACCCAGTGGTAATCATGATTCAGATTCCGTGAAAAACAAAATTGATTAGCAAGTATCACACCGTAAAGCGCTCATCACCTCCGTCCATTCGAGCCAGCGAGAATCGGTCATGTGACGACAGTCACCATTGCACGTTGGACGAGGAACAAAACAGAAAGGACTCGAAGGCGAGGAAATTAGCCACCGAAACCGTAGAGAGTGCGGCCTTGGCGCTTGAGGGCGTAGACCACGTCCAGCGAGGTGACGGTCTTGCGTTTGGCGTGCTCAGTGTAGGTGACGGCATCACGAATGACGGACTCGAGGAAGGACTTGAGAACACCACGGGTCTCCTCATATATCATGGCAGAGATACGCTTGACACCACCACGGCGAGCGAGACGACGGATGGCAGGCTTGGTGATACCCTGGATGTTGTCACGCAAGATCTTGCGGTGACGCTTGGCGCCGCCCTTGCCGAGACCCTTGCCACCTTTACCGCCTAAATTGGACGGATGTCAGTAAGAGTTAATGATGGATGGGTGTAGAGTAGGCTAGGGAGTGTCCATAGGTAGGATGTTGGATGCAAGGCAGCGAGTGCCTCAGGCTAGCACATGACATCACGTGCCATCGGGAGTGCATCATCAACCTGGATGCTGACGACGCTGATGGAGAGAGAACGACAGGAAAGTACTTACGTCCAGACATGTTGTTTAAAGTTCAAGATGGATGAAAAGAGATAAAAATCGATGAGATAGAGATGGAAATGGTGAGTTGTAGGATGATAGGACGCGACGCGTTGCGGACCAGTTGCTGAAATCAGAGGTTGCAAGAAAAAGGGAAAAGACCGTCAGAAAAGGCCTTGTAACGAGAGGGGCTATAGCTTATATAGCTTTTCCGGGCGGGCGGCAAGGGAAAGGGTGATTTCGCCCTAGAATTTCACACAGGGTTAATGACTAATCATAGGAGGATGCCCTGGGACAGTCAAAAGCAATGCAGAATGTTGATTGGCGGGTAGCGGGGGTGAAAAAGGGCGTTATGAACGACCGCTTTCAAGCCCGTGTTTTTGGGCGTTCGTTGTTTTGGCGCATTACCTGCTGGAACGCGGGCCCGAGGGGCGGGTCGCTATCACGTGACGATAACGTCGGATATCTCAACCTCATCAAATACGATAGTTTTTCAGAATATCTTGTACTCATGATTCTCCACAAAAGGCAAGGCAAAGCAATTATTATATGTTTGCAATACCCAGAGAAATAATTTAAAGTTTCAATTTCTTACACCCACGACTTTCTGGGGATGAATGAAACCCAGATTTCATACCTGACATTCTCCTTGCGGGTCGCCTACATACCTACTCCAGTGAGGACGCGCCACGGCCGACATTTACCAAACCATGTGTACAACTTCAATCCGCAAGGTGAACTATTTAGTCATATTACGTTGTATTAGCCTAGTAACACCCACTGTAAGTCAGAGAGCTTCGGAAGTGCTATTCGCCAGATACCATCGAAAACTTGTAGCTCATGTCAGAACTATTCTTAATCTGACTGTAAACCTGTATTGTATCTGTCATACATCCTTCCGCTATCGCATATCATACCAAGGCGCCTTTAGAAAAAGAAAAGAAAAGGAACTCTGGAGGGGAGTTGGACGAAATTGTGCGATCAAACCCCGTACAACGCTCAAGTAGAATCAATGATAATTAACAATATGCTAAATGCAATCGACATCTTTTAACGACATCCTCGTGCGGGTGCCTTATCATGGGAAACGCTCTCAATAAATGCTGCCGACCGATAGATTACTAGAGACACATAACTTCATGATCATGAGGAGGAAGAATAAGATAAGCATAAAAGATAAAAACTGACACATGGGCGAGAGCATACAAATCGAGGTACCAACACCATGTGACGATGACTTTTATGCCCCTTCAGTGGAAAAAAGCTGGCGCAAGAAGTGGGAACTCGCGGTTTATTACCATCGCAAAGGCCATTCTTCGAGCTTCCATACCATGAAAAGGGCACAACCATAATAAAGATAAAAGAGGTATCGCAAAGGTCAGATTAAAGGTTGCAATAGAAATGACACATCTCATACTGCACGATACATCGTAAGTATCAACATCGGAAAGAAGATGATCATTCAATGTCGTATCTGATGGACGGAAGCAGTATGTTGTTGGATATTAGTAGATGTTATCTTAGATGACGAAACGTCCAACTCGTCATACGTGTAAGACGGAATATAATTCGTCATTAGGGCGCAGATTCATTCATCCTTGAATAACTGCTGGTCTTTGTGTTTCCTTGAGGAAAGTGCTTTGCATGGGCTCGATATATGGATAACTGTGTGGGGTGGGTGAAGAATTGCGAGAGCTGCCACCAGTAGCTGTGTCCATCTTGGGAGACGCTGTTGGTGACGATTCAGAGGAAGACTTATCCAAGCTTGGTATGGGACGAGTGTTGTGGGAAGGGCTCGAAGAACCGAAGAAGCAATATCGGTCAACAAGCTCCTTATACACGGAGGACTCTCGATGGGGCTTGCTTGATAATAAAGTGGATGGCTTCGATTGTTCAGCCTGAGGTTGGCTTCTTGGCTGTGGGTGACTGTCGTCCAGAGGCCGATCGACAATCGCACCTCGTCCCTTGACTGGGCTGTACCTTTCGGCCCCTGGTGGGGAACCTTCAGACTTTGCCCGAGCAGTGAGAGTGGTCCGGTCGTGCGCTGACTTTGTGCGCATCGCAGCATTTAACGATGCTTCAAAGTCATAACGACTACCAAATATCTGGGAAGACTGCCTGTCACGACGCGTAGGAGCCACCGCATCGTCATCATGTGATTTGACTCCATAGGCGGGCCGATCCTTAGTACCTCGCGTGTTACGGTCAAAGGAAAGATAGTCTTTCATACTCGAAAAGTCATCGAAAGACGGAGACTTTCTTTGATTGTTGGCGTTAGAACCAGCAAAGGTCTTGCTCCGAGGAAGGGGAGCGCGAGACACTGAGATCGGCTTGACAAGCAGACCATGAGGGTCGGGCTTCGATGTAGGAATCCTAAGGAAGGTAACCTGATAATTCATTGCCCGGTTGTTATCCCAGAATTCCTGTCCATTGACGTAGTAACGAACGCAAAGGAACATGGTCTTCTTTTCTAGGTTTGCCTGCTCGTCCAGCTTGATACTGAAGCAAAATCGGTCATATCCATCATTAATCTGCTTACGGCGAACATCGTCACTGTATTCTGCAATAACTTCAGAGATCGTCTTCCAATGATCGAATGTGAAACGAGCTGCGACATGTTTGTGGAAGGCTAGATTAGCAACTGCAACCACACCAACTAAGGTGTTCTTGTCCGACGACAAAAACAGACGTTCAAGCCGAACTCGTTGATGAGCTCGGGTTGAAACATCCCTAGGGAAGTTTGGGAGTCTAATGTCCCATTCATAGGAAGTCATGTCCGGCTGATCTTTGTTGAACGGAAAACCGCCTTCAGATTCATAGTCGTCTACTGGGGATCCGCCAGCACTCACAGCCTGGGGTTTATCCAACTGCAAAAAGTGCCTGATGTGCTCTAGCTGGGCATCAAAGTGAACGGCCTTAGCGTATGTTGGTGTCCCAGGCATGCTCGACGGGCGCCGTCGCGCTGAAGGCGGGCGGAGAGCCGGTCTAACGAGCTCCCCCGACTTCTTACGCACCATGGGTTGTTTCGCCCGCGGGTCGTCATCTCCATCGCTCTCATCGGGGGAGCTCGTCACTGCCTCTTCTTGCTTTAGATCGATGGCGTGCTCTGTTATTGAGCGTGAATGGGAAATTTTGCGCGCTTCCTTGGAAAGAGGTGGATGAGACTGCTTCTTAGTAGGATTAGTTGTTTGTGTTACGCTTGACGATGGCTTCCTCTCCTGGGTTTCTCGCTCCGGAGAGGAAACGCGCCTCTGCTCTATAGACCTCACGGCTACCTCCAACTCCTGCAGGCAAAGCCCCTCCTTGTGACCGTACGTAGACTCTTCATCACTAGAGTTCGGGGCAGACTCTGGAGGAGAGATCATCGCCCCAGGAGGGATAAGAGCGTCACTTCGTGGAGGTGGCGATTGCCTGATGGTAGCATGAGAATCTATTGTCTGCTTGGACTTCCGCACATTTTCTGGGGTTGGGAATGTGAACGATTTGCTGGTTGATGGGCTTCTGCGGTGTCTGCGCACGTAGGCCGTGGAAGAGTAAGACCGAGACAGGCGTGGTCGTCCCGCCGGCGGGTCAACCAAGGTAGGTGAAGTGGGACAGGACTGAGATTCCGGCTCAATGTTCTCAATATGCTGCGCGAAAGGCGAAGACTTGAGCGGTGCAGTGTATGGCATCCGGCCGGATTTGTGCGATCAAACACAAGAAGCGATCTAATTGAGCAACAGGGAAACTTTGGCTTCTCTTAGGGTTGTAGATATTAAGAGACGAGGATCTTATACAAGCTAGCCCCGTCAATACGATCTTTTGGATGCGTTAGTACAGTG